GTGGCGGTGTTCGCATGCGTTACCCCCGCCCCAGTGCAGCGCTTCGCGGCCCCATAGGGAGCTCCACCGAAGGCCCCAGTGGCGGTGTTCGCATGCGTTACCCCCGCCCCAGTGCAGCGTTTCGTGGCCCCACCACCGAAGTCCTCCCTGGCTGTGTTCGCATGCGTCCCCCCGACCCAGCACAGCGTTTCGGGGCCCCAGCGGGAGCATCACCGAAGGCCCCAGTGGCGGTGTTCGCACGCTTCTCCCCCACTCAGTACAGCGTTGCGTTGCCCCATAGGGAGCTCCATCGAAAGGCCCAGCGGCCCCGCTCCATTGCGGCGCACCCCTCGCGCGTTCCGCGGCCCCATCGTGGGTTCCACCTAGAGCCCCAGTGGCATCGCCCACATGGCGGCCCCGCTCCATATCGGCACACCCTTCGATGCTTCATGGCCCCACGAGGAGATCCCCCGAAGGCGATACCCGCAACGACGGTAGTCACAACTGCATACGGTTGGGTCCTTCGCCAGGATCGTTTTTTCTGGGGGGCGGGGGGTGGGAGTCGGGGGGATCTCGTCTGGGAGGGGTGGGGGAGATCCGGGTTTTGGAGAGGAGCGCGGGGGTGTTGCAGGGGTGTGGAGGGGGAGCTCCCCGGTTCAGAAGTGGGAGGCATTCTGCACCAGTGAAGCGTACGCAGAAGTCGCTTCCTCGTTCAGGAAACCTCCTGAACCAGAGCGGATGAAGAGAGGAGGAGGACGAGGAGGAAGAGGAGGAGGAGGAGCATGCGCAAAAGTAGGAAGTAGGAAAGGGGGACGACAAGCTAGGTGCGCTCGCGCCATATCTGACGTCCTACCCCACCCCATTGCGTTGCTTATTCTCTATCCGCCGACGCGTGTCATAGCGGACTTGGAACTCCAAAGGGGCCTCATCGTGTTATGCGCAATCGGAAGGAGGGAGCTGCGTACATTCGAGGAGGAGTTGGGGGATGAACAGGAGGACGAGCAGGCGCAGAGGGAGGACGACGAGGAAGGGGAAGGACGAGGACGAACAGCAGCAGCAGCAGCAGCAGGAGCTGGAGCGGGAGGAGCAGGAGGACCCGGGGCAGGCGGAGGAGGGGAAATGAGGGGGGCCGAGAACGATGGAGCAGGGATTCAGCAAAGGCGGCCCGCGCTGTGGCGGGAGCGCCATTCCGAACGACGGGAGCGAAGCGCCGCTCCGAACATGACGCCCGCGCTGCAGCAGGCGCAGAGGTTGTAAAGAGGCTGGAGGAGGAGGAAGAGGAGGAGGAGGAGGGGGAGGAGGAGGAGGAGGAGGAGGAGGAGGAGGAAGAGGAGGAGGGGGCCTCTCAGAAGGCAGGGGCCTCAAGGCCCCGAGGCTCCCAAAAAGAATGCCTCCTCGAGGCATGGGCGGGTTTCTCGGGTTTCTCAAAGCCTCCCCCCGCGTGCACTCGGATCCACCAGAAGCACAGACAGCAATCGGGTTGTGAGCGGCCGTCGGACAAACCACCTGTAGCCAATCCTGTGTGCAAAAAAAACAGTACTCGGAGAGGGCGGGGTATCTTCCGGACGGAGTCCGGGGAGCGAGGGGGGTAGTGTTCCCCTTGAGTAGTGCGCGGGCGCAGGAGCAGGAGGGGGGGCGACAGCAGGCAGAGGGACTGCCTGGGAGGATCGGAGGTGGACAGACCTCCTACCCTGACACGTCGATTAGCGAATTGTCCGCTTTCGGTTCTCGAGAGGGCGTCGCGGCCGTAATTTTCCAGGCTTGCGCACGCCAGGTTTGGGCCCGAGATCGTTTTCACTAAAGCACGTTTTGCTAAAGGGGGGGTTGTCCATACCCGAGAGGAGCGGGCCAGGGAACGTGCCGGATTTATTTGGTGCCAGCTGAAGTCTGCTTGCACTGCCTAACGTCTCCGTGGGCCACGCCGCAGTGGCTGGAATTTAGCTCGAAAAGATCGAGAATTCAGGAGAGTCTATCAAGACTTCGTCCCTGCAGCCGCACGTCGTTGCGCATGTTAATTTGCCGAGCAAGTAAAACAAGTATTGCCGCCGAGAAAGGCTCTCGGTGCCTTGTTTGTGCCGTGCGGATGATGGTTTTCGTAGTAATGATGATGCTGGCGATGATGGTTGATGATGGTGATGATGATGGTCATTATCATCATCATGACGGTGGTGGTTGTGATGATGTTGATGTTGATGCTGACGCTGATGTTGATGATGATGCTGATGCTGCTGGTGTTGATGATACAGATGATGGGAATGAATATGTGGATGGGGATGATGTTGATGAGGTGGAAGCCGATGATGGTGAGGAGAAGTAGAAGGAGGTGGAAGGAGGATTGAGGAGTATCGATGGCGACGCTGCTGATGATAATAGAGCGGGCTCGGTTTGCAGCAGGGGCTGAGAGAGTCTCAGGAATGTTTACATGTTCCATAGTCTCTCTGGGTCAAGCGTATGCAGCCACACTCCCAGGCCTCTGTTCTCGCGGTGCTGTGTGCACTCTCGAACCTGTACTGGGTTGGGCTGCGATCGGCGGAGCCGAGCCGCCCCGTCCAGCTCGACGAGCCGCTGGACGCCGCGGCAGCTGCCTTGGGGGCCGCGGACGCGGCGGAGCGGGCGGAGGCCGCCTCGGGCGAGGCAGGCGCCGCGTGCGAGAGGACAGGCGCCCGCCTCGACCTGCTCGAGGCCCGCGTCTCCGAGCTCGCCGAGCTGCTCAGGGCGCGGGCGGCCGCTCCTGAGCCTCCGCCCCCGCCGCCCCCCCGAGCCGTCGGCGGCTGCCTCGGCCGCGGTCTCGGCGGCGGTTTCCGTGCTCCTGGGCAGCTGGCTGCTGGAGCTGGTGGAGATGGGGGCGGCCTGCTGCCTCGGTCCCGTGTGCTGCCCGAGCAGGCGGCGCGATGGCGACGGCCCTGCAGCTGCTGGGCGCAGGCCGGGAAGTGTACTTCAGCCAGGACGGCCAGTCCGTCGCGGCGGCGGAGTGGTGCGGTAAGTTGCTCGCGGGCCTCCACGTGGCGATCTTCTATACGGGCGACCCCGACTATTGGCACGAACGAGTCCAGCTGTGGCCTGCTAGTCCCGACCTACCCCCTACGAGATGGTTCGTGGCCACGCCTGACGGAGACATATACGCCGAGCCGATCAGGTCTGGCATGGGCTGGGGATCTCGCTTCGCCATCCTGGACTCCACAGGCGGCAATGCAGTCATCCCGCCGGGAACGCTGTACGCCTTCGAGTCGCTGCCCAGCGACGATGACCTCGCGCGGCAGATCACCGAGGCCATCGAGGAGGCAACGCTCGACGGGATCCGCATCGCCGCGCAGGATGAGCTGAAGTACCTTCGGCGTGACGGACGAGAGGTGCCGCTGGGGGACCTCGTGCCGCTGCCGCCCCCGCTGCAGGCGGCCGAGCCCCTGGTGGAGGTACCTCCGAGTGACCACGGGGGCGCCCCAGCCGCGGGAGAGGTGTCGCAGCCAGTGCTGGGAACGGACACGCCAGGCGGCGGGCATGTGCCCGAGCCTGGGCGCGTCTGGGTCAGCCTCGAGACGGTGCCTGGCCAGATCGCCCGCGATGATGAGGTGAAGCTCAGCGAGTCCGCCCTGATCGATGACGACCGTGCCATCCATGTCCTGCCCAGCGGCAAGCGCATTGCCGCGCGTCTGGCTGACCTCCCCGTGGAATCGCTGATTGACGAGTCGGGCCTGGGGGATGCCAGAACGCTGGGGCCGCTGCGCTATGACTCCCATGGGCAGCGATATCTGGACTACCGCACGGGTGTCCCTGAGCTCCGCGAGGAGGCCCTGGACGCGTTCCCGCTGAAGGGAGAACGATCGTTCTTGTGGCTTCAGCGGTGCATAACCGAGCATGGAGGCACGCCCGACGGCCGCCACACCAAGTACCTCACGGAGGAGCCCCTGCAGCCCGACAGCACGGCGGGCCACCTCCATGACTTGCTGGGGCTCTCCATGTTTTTGAGCATGGTGTACGACCAGGTCGACGGGTCCAACTTGGCATGCATGGAGATGGTCGCCAGATGCTACCAGCTGGTGGAGGAGACGAAGGGCTCCATGCGCACCGAGGGCCTGGAGTACTACATCGGGCGCGACCAGGGCGGCGCCACTCGGCGTGGCATCGCCATGGCGCAGGGACTGGCGCGCCACGCGACCGACCAGCTGGCAAAGAAGGTGGAGATCGCCAAGCAGCGCCGCAACTTCAGGGAGGGGCAGGCGGCGAAGCGCGGCGAGGGCAGCCACAACAACAACAAAAACAATGGCAAGGACAAGGACGAGGCGAACAAGGACAGTTCGCCAGCGGGGTGAACTTCGTGGGGGCCACGCGTGGCGAGCGTGCGCCCGATCCAGAGAGCCATTCAATTCACCCTGTGGCGGCCCCTCGTGCTGGAGATGGCGCATTCCCAATCAACTTTTTCTGCGGCCCTGGCATGGACCCCGTTGGCCGCCGCAATGGTATATCTGCTTGCATATTGAAGCGCTCCAGGGAGACGATCGAGGCGCTGAACTTGATGGCCGGCTACCCGACCTGCGGGTCCGTCCCCTCGGCCCCCCCCCACCTGGCAGCAGGCGCTGTGTGAGCGAGTGGTGCGGCTACGCGCTGAGCGCCGCCCGCCTACTTCGGTGTCGTCTCGGACGGCTTGTGGGGAGCTGCTGGGGCAACCCCTCCTCGGCTACACTGGAGAGGTTACGCTGCTACGATCCTATGCGCGACACTTGGTCTCCTGGCCTGATGTCGGCAACCGACTTGGGTGGCTGACAGACAGGCTCACCGCTCGGGACCAGTCTATTCTCTTGGATCGTGACCACTCGCTCGTGCTGCCGCAGCCCGAGTTTGAGGGGGTGATCAAGACTGAGCAGCGGCCTCTACTCTATATGGGTCCTGTTTTGAAGAATCACGCAAATGCTTACCATGAGTTTGTTCGAGACGGTCTAGCGCGAGGCTGCTTCCGCGTCGGCCGTCATCGATGGGAGGATGTGATTGTCTTCTTCGTCGCAAAGCAGGACGGCGGCCTGAGGCTGGCGCTGGACCGTCGCCGACCTAATCAGAGGTTCACCAAGCCCGACCCAGCGGCGCTCTTCAGCGGGGCCGCTTTCGGCGACTTCGAGGTGGAGGCTGGCCGCGCAGCCTGGCACGGGGGGCTGGACGTCAAGAGCGCCTTCTACCAGCACCGCCTGCCGTCCTACCTGTGCGACTACTTCTGCTTGCCGCGGGCGCGCGCTGGTGCTGTGGGGGTGACGCGCGTGCTGGGCCGACCTGTCGAGCCGTGGGACGTTGTGTACCCACAGATGTCCGTGGTGCTAATGGGCTGGTCCTGGGGGCTTTACATGGTGCAGAGGGCCCGCGGGTACTCTCTGGACGACCCCCCCCCCCTCCTCGCGACCTGCCCGAGGGCTGTCGACTTCCGGCCGCCCCCCTCGGTGCAGGGCGGTCCAGCCCACGCGCTGTAAGTCGACAACGTGCTGCTGGTAGGCACCGATGAGGCTGAAGTCACCTCGAGGAGACGCCAGGCCTCTGCCGCCTTCGCCTCGCAGGACCTCGCAGTGCACTGTGAGGGGGACGCCGCGCAGAATATGGACATGCTGGGCGTCAGGCTGACAGGCTCGCCTCCCGCCGTTCAGCTCTCAGAGAAGCGTTTTTTTGGAAGCTGTACTTCGGAATCCAGTACCTGGTCGAGGTGAGGCGTCGGGCCACCAGCAGCGAGCTCGAGCATCTCATAGGCCATTGCACCTTTTGCGCGCTGGTTCGGCGCGAGGCCCTTGCCAGCTTCTGCGCAGTGTACGTTTTCATTCGCGCAGGTTTTGTCGAGTGGGGGCCTCCATGGGACTCTGTGAGCCGTGAGCTGACAATCTTCCAAGGCGTCCTCATCCTGTTATCTCGTCGTCTGGATGCCGAGTGGTCCAAAACACTTAGAGCCACCGACGCGTGCGAGACGGGTCGCGCGTCCGTCATCGCCGATATGCCGATCGACTTCGTCAAGCGAGCGGCGAGGTGGCAGGAGAGGAGGCGATGCCGACTTACTCGATCTGTTGATGGTACCTACCGACCACGCGACCGAGCGAGAGGCGCGGAGGAGCTGGAGGGCGAGGACGGGGACGTTCGATCGATCGACGACATGCGAAAGGTCGGCGATGTGGATCCGAGCTTCCCCGAGATCTCTCCCCAGTATGTTAGGGCTGCCATGTGGGTCTTCCAGCATCGCAGGCCCATGAGGGACCCCGAGGCCATGCGTCGTAAGGAAGCCCGAGGAGTAGCCGAGGCAATTCGTGTACATCTGTCTGACCCACTACGATGGGGTAAACGGGTGCTCCTCTTGGGCGACAACCTGGGCCTCTCTCTCGCTTCGTCGAAGGGTCGGGCTCGAGATGCGCGGCTTCTCAATATCATGCGCCGCTGGTCCGCCCTGCTGCTTCTGACGGGCACAGTCGTGTGTCACAGATGGCTGCCCTCTGAGCTGAACCCAGCGGATGAGCTCAGCCGCTGGGAGCGCAAGTCTGGCAAGCCGCTGCCGGTCGCGCTCGCCCCGCCTGGGCTCGCATCCCCCGCGGCCAGGCCAGCCAGCGCCTGGCGCTTGCGAGGGCCGCGGCGCCAGCGCTGGACGCGCCGCCGATCCCGAGGCGAGGGGGGGCCCCGCGCCCGTCGAGGACGGGCCCCCGACGGGCGCCACCTGCCGCGGGGGCGGCAAAGCGGCCCCCGCGGCCGCCCCGCGGTCCGCGCCTGCTGGGCCTGCAGCCCGCGCGCAGCTCGGGCACGCCAACGGCTCCGCTGCTGACCGCGGCCGAGCGGACGACGCAGCTCGAGACGGCCGCGTTCGGCGCGCACGCCGCCGGCCGCAGGGGGGCCAGGGGCGGGGTCGCTCAACGTGAACGAGAGGCGGCGGGCCTACGCGCGGCAGTCCACCCACGGACCTGCCCGCGACACCATGCACCAGCTGGGGATCACCGAGCAGGCAGCCGTCCAGCAGCGAACCTTCACCAGCTGCAACCGGATGCTCTCTGCCTTCATGATCTTCTGTGGCCTTGCCAGTCCCATCATGCCAGCCCACTCGCTCGACGCACGGGTCGTGCAGTTCTTCGATCACTTGTGCCTGGAGGGGAAGGCACCCTCCACGGGCGAGAAGCTCATCGCGGCCCTCATGATGTTCATCCCAGACCATCACGTTCGGGGCCGCCTGCCGTTGCCGCGGGCGGGGCGGGCGCTGCGGGGCTGGAGGAGGCTCGCGCCTACCAAGGCGCGCAGGCCACTGCCTTGGGCGGTCTGCTGCGCGGTCGCGATGCAGATCCTGGCCGAGGCAGCGACTGTCAGCCTGCCCTACGGCTTCGAGGCGGCCCTGGCCTGGATCATGATGGTGGACGCGTACTTGCGGCCAGGGGAGGCGATGAGATTCTTTGCTGCGCAGATCTTAGGGCCCTGCGGGACCGTCACGGACGTGGTGATTCACATCAGCCCCGACTACGTGCTGAGAGCCTCCAAGACAGGCGAGATGGACGAGACCGTCGCGATCTCGCGACGCCGGATCGGGGCGTGTCTTGTCGCCCTTGCCTCGAGCCGCCGTGGGCAGCCGCTGTGGCCGCTCATGCTGTCGCAGCTGAAGGACCTGTTCGACCGCGCTGCCGCGCGAGTGGGGCTCGCACCGCTCTCGCCAGTGCTCTACATGGCCCGCCACTCAGGGGCGAGCATCGACCGCCAGGAGGGCCGGCTGAACCTCGACGAGGTCGCCAAGAGGGGGCGCTGGCGCACGCTGAGCAGCGTGCGGCGCTACGAGAATCGCGGCCTGCTGCAGGAGGTCTGGAACAACCTCAGCGTGCGCCAGCGCCAATATTGCGAGACAGCCGCGGCCGCATTAGCCGACAGGCTCGTGGCGCACTTCTGCGGCAGCGGCGCTGCAAGACAGCGGACCCCCTCTGGGACTACCAGCCATTCTACATAGAGCTGTTCGCAGGGTCCGAGGTCTGGAGCAACGGCATGCGGCGACGCCGATGCAAGGTCTACTCCTTCGACATCCTGCAAGGACCCGAAGGCGACCTCCTCCGCCCTGGTGTGATGCGACGCGTCCTGAAGCTCGTCAGATCAGGCCACTGCCTCGGCGTGCTGGCGGGCGTTCCATGTACTACCTTCTCGATCGCCCGTGGTGGGCACAATGCTATCCGTTCGAAGCAGTATCCAGCAGGCCTTCCGGGGCTTCCGCCCCGCCTGCAGTCTCAAATCAATGAGGGCAACAAGTTGTTTCACAACGCTGTGAGGATATTCGACCAGTGCATTCAATGCCGAATCTTTTTTCTCTGGGAAAACCCGCAGAGCAGCTACATGTGGCACATGCCTGACGCGATCCGCATCTCAGCTGCCCCACAAGTGCTAGATGTCATCACCCACTACTGCGGTTGGGGCACTGCATGGAAGAAGCCGGCTCGATTTCGAACTTTTCTGGTGCCCGATGCCGCACGGCTGCGCAAGAGGTGCACTGGGCGCGGATTCTGATCTTTCACTGGCGAGGCCCACCATGTGCTGCAAGGCCGAGACGACAGTGGTGTTCACTGGACTCGGCGTGCTAATCCTTACCCACCAGCGCTCGTTCGACAGCTCGCTGGTCTTTTTCAGGCCGCCGGCTTTGCCATGCAGTTTCCTCTCAGTGTGCTTGCTTCCAATGCGCCGAAGAGCCCGCTAAATTTGGCAGAAGGAATGTTGCTGTAGGACAGGTCCCCTAAATTTGGTAGTCAGTTTGATGTTCGTGCGCGTCGATCGACTCTCCCGAGCCTTCGGTTCAGAGGTTTTTTTTACTCACAGGAGTGTTGCGGTTCATCTCATGCTGTTCAGAAAGAGTCTCGGAGTAGAAGCAGCTAATAGAGCGGGCTCTGTTTGCAGCTGGGGCTGAGAGAGTCTCAGGAATGTTTACATTTTCCATCGTCTCTCTGGGTCCTCCGCCTCCCCTCCTCCTCCTCTCTGCGGGTGCAGCGTATCTGTGCACTGGCCGTCGTGGTAGTCAGTTTGATGCTCGTGCGCGTCGATCGACTCTCCCGAGCCTTCGGTTCAGAGGTCTTTCTTACTCACAGGAGTGTTGCGGTTCATCTCATGTTGTTCAGAAAGAGTCTCGGAGTAGAAGCAGCTAATAGAGCGGGCTCGGTTTGCAGCTGGGGCTGAGAGAGTCTCAGGAATGTGTACATGTTCCATCGTCTCTCTGGGTCCTCCGCCTCCCCTCCCCCTCCTCTCTGCGGGTGCAGCGTATCTGTGCACTGGCCGTCGTGGTAGTCAGTTTGATGCTCGTGCGCGTCGATCGACTCTCCCGAGCCTTCGGTTCAGAGGTCTTTCTTACTCACAGGAGTGTTGCGGTTCATCTCATGTTGTTCAGAAAGAGTCTCGGAGTAGAAGCAGCTGGTGTTGATGTTGACAGTGATGATGCTGGTGATGATACTGCTGATGATGCTGGTGCTGGTGATGGTGATGGTGATGGTGATGATGATGATGATGGTGATGATGATGATGCTGACTTTGATGTGCTTGTGATTATGAGTCTGAGTTCTGGTTGTGGGTTTCACGGTTATGAGGAGGAGCAGAAGACGGATAAGAGCGATGATGTTGATAATGATGATGGCGATGATGTTGTTGATGATGAGGAGGAAGAGGAGAAGGAATAGAGGGATGAAGGATGACTTTTGGATATCGATGGCGATGAAGACGACGGTGACGATGACGCCGGTGGTGATGATGATGCTGATGATGATGGTGATGATGGTGGTGGTGGTTGTGATGAGGGCGCTGAGGATGATGCTGTTGCTGATCATGATGCTGATTACGATGATGGCGGTGATGATCGTGATGATGTTGGCGATGATGTTGGTGATGCTGGTGATGGTGATGCTAATGTTGTTGTGATGATGATGATGATGATGAGCTGCCGATGATGCTGATGATGATGATGCTGTGATGATGAGATGAATATATCATGATGATGCTGATGATAAGGATGGAGGGGGATTATGGTGTCATTGTTGATGATGGTGGCGATGGTGATGACGTTGCTGATGATGGTCATGATGTTTATGCTTATGGGTATGATGATTCGGCCGGTTGTGATGATTGTGATGGTGGTGATGGCGACGACGATGCTGACAATGATGTTGGTGTCTATGAACAGAATTACGATTATAGGCCTGGCTATGGATATTGCGATGATGAAGAGGAGCAGCATTTGAAAAAAGGCGATGAGGTTGAGGATGGTGATGATGATGATGATGCTGAGGGAGGAGGAGGAGGAGGAGGAGGAGGAGGAGGAGGAGGAGGAGAAGGAGGACGAGGAGGAGGAAGAGGAGGAGGAAGAGGAGGAGGAGGAGAAGGAAGGAGTTCTGCTGTCGCTGTTGCCAGCGGCTCCGTCAACGTCTCCCCGCCCGGCAAGGCCTCTGGAGCACTGTCCCGAGTGGGGGAAGGGCCGGGAGGCAGCTCCTCGTGGTATTCGGCCTACCTGGTGGGTATTCCTCCTCCTCCTCCTCCTCCTCCTCCTCCTCCTCCTCCTCTTCCTCCTCCTCCTCCTCCTCCTCCTCCTCAACCTCCTCTTTCCTCGCCCTTCTCCTCAGCATTGCCCAGTTCCTCAAGTTGCTTGTAGTCTTGGGCTCTCCAGGGGCTGCCGCTTTCCCGCCCCACCTTCTGCCAGTGGTTTTGTCGTCGCTACGGGTTGTGTTGGCTTGTTCCCCTCACCCTTCTCCTCCTCCTCTTCCTTTTTTCTTTTGCTTCTGCTTTGCATGGAACTAGCATGGCAATGCAATCTTGGAACAAGCCAGCGTTGTTTGCGGAGGGTGGTTGGGGGGGGGGGGCGGGTTAGCGAACTCGTCCGCGTCGTCCGCCTCGTCCTCCTGCTCCCTGCTCACCCTCCTCCTTTGTCTCCTCCTCTCTGCCCTCTCCGCCTTCCCCGTCCTGATCTTCCGCGCGGGCCAGCAGGCGTCGAGCGCCCCGCGGGTGTTCGTGCCCCCGACGGCCGTGCCGGCGGCGCCAAGGGGCCCGGCCGCGGCTCACAGGCCTTCGGGGGAGGAAGGGGGCAGTTCTGAGCCAGAAGCGAGCAGGGGCGGGAAGGAGGAGGAGAAGGCACGAGCGACGGAGAAGGGAGGAAAAGGGTGGAGGGAGGAGGAAGAGGAGGACGAGGAGAGGAAGGCAGAGGGAGGAGGCCCGGGAGGAGGCAGGCGAGGGGAGGAGGAAGGAGGAGGGAATGGGGGCATGGAGGGAGTGGGAAAAGGAAGAGAAGGGGGATTCGAAGTGATCGTCTTGGCGCGCCTTGGCCCCGTCAGGTGGCCCAGTTGATTGGTGCCACCACTCTAGGAAGCACGTGGTCGCAAGCGCCCATCGTGATTTGCACTCGGGGTCAGAGCAACCGCTGGGCTAAGCGAGGGCCTGCTGCGCGGGTCTTCCCAGTAACGCCGCCGTCTAAGTTCACATCGCCCTGCCTATGGTGGAGCAGCACGGCTTCGACCTGTTGCCCAGTGAGACAATGCCAGGAGGAGGAGGTGGAGGAGGCAGGAGGAGGAAGGAGGAAAGGGAGGAAAAGGAGGAGAAGGAGGAGGAGCAGGAACAGGAGCAGTCGGCAAGAGGGAGGGAGGCGGAAGGAATAGAGTCCAGAGATCCCATGAGCGACGGCTCGCGGCGAGTCTCCCCTCCTTTGTGGGTGTGCGTGTGTGTGTGTGTGTGTGTGTGTGTGTGTGTGGACCCGCTCCGTTCCCTCCTTCGATCGAAGCGAATCACGCCGCGAGCCAAGTACTGGATCTACGTTTTTTTGTGTTTGTTTTTTTCCCTAACGGTTGCTGGACGGCCGACCGTCTCCAGGAATCAGGATATATTTCAGACGGCAAGTGTCCGAAGTGCGGGCAACCCGATTCGCTGTTTCATCGCCAGTGGCTCTGCAATGATCCCGAGGTTGCTGAGGCCCGCAGCGAAGCCTTAGCTCCAGAGGTCATCGAGGCAGCCCGTAATAGCGAGCCTGACGTTCGACTTTTCTGGACTCGTTTGATGATGGCCCATCCCGATGTTGACTCCTTCCCCCCTCCTGCGGCGAGGACCGACCCCCTCTTCCAGGATCCTGAGGGGCGGCCATTGTCTTTCGAGGAGTTTGTTACACTTAGTGAGAGCTGCGACCTAGTGGTCGACGGCTCTGCGACTCAATACCCCATTCTAGAACTTAGCCGCGCTGCGTTCGCGGGCGTTCTTCTGGAACCAGGGGAAACCTACCAGGTGCGGACCCGTTTCTTGGCCCCTGTTTTGCCCGAGCTCAATCAAACGCCGCAGGCGGCGGAAAACCTCGGGCTCGCCACGGCCTGTGCTTTCAGCTCTAGCATGTGCTCCCCATTTAGCGATTGTATGGGAGCCGTCCGCCTACACAACCTGTCGGATGCAGCTCAGCTTTGCCCGAAGGAGATGTTTGCAGGCTTCCGCCGCGCCGCCCAGCAGGGGCATGGCTTTGATGCCCTTGGAGAGGCCAGCCACACCCCAGCCCACCGCTCGGACGAAGTGGTCCAGGCTCTGCCCCCTGACCAGAAGGGAATAGCGTTGGCTAGCCAAGATGCCGACCGCCTGGCCGAATTCGCCCTCTCACTCTATCCCCAGCCTGCACCTGCTGATCTGGAGATGTTGGATAGGCAGGTGCAGACCATCCGCTCGTGTGCTAAGATGATAGGACGGGTGCTCTCGCTCTTTCCTAAGTTGCAGTTTGAGCGACGCCCTCCTGAGCAGCGTATGCCTCGAGTGCCGCCTCCCCCTGTCTGTCACGAATGGGAGGAGCTCGAGGGTGAGCAGACGGCCCACCGCTGCAGCAGATGTCACATGATTTCTTTCAGCGGCGAGTCCCGACCTATGAACGGTTGTGCTGGTTTGTCCACCGCCTTCAAGCGCCTGTCGAGCGCCGAGAGCGAGAGGCACCATAAGTTGGGATTTACCACGCTGAGCAAATCTCTGACGCCTTTGATTTTCTGCTACGCTTGTGGTGCATACACCAGCAGGCGATGCTATCTGCTTGCCCAGGATTGCCTGCAGAAGTTAGGGACTCATGGCGCAAGCGTGCTGTCGCGAATCCAGATTGGACTCCACCCTCATTACAGGAAGAGCCCTGAGGGCGTGGAAACGGTGGCGCCTGCCAGGGCGCCGCCCAAGACGGTGCTCCTTGCCCTTCCAGGCCCGTTGGCTGCTGGCGCATCGCGCTTGGTCGATTCGGATCGACTGAGAGCGGTGGCAACCCGCATCAAGGACAAGGAGGAGGCATCCAGGCGATAGCCGATGACGATGACGTTCTGCCAATGGGTCGTCCCGTCCTCCTCCTCCTCCTCCTCCTCCTCCTCCTCCTCCTCCTCCTCCTTCTCCTCCTACTCCCCCTCCTCCCCCCCCTCCTCCTCCTCCCCCTCCCCCCCTCCTCCTCTCTCCTCCTCCTCTCCTGCTCCTCCCCTCCTCCTCCTCCTCCTCCTCCTCCTCCTCCTCCTCTTCCTCCTCGGGTCGCCCACGGCCCTGGGGGAAGCCGTGCAGCACGACGGCTGCACGGCAGGTTCGCGCCGCGCTGACGTGGCGGCGGCCCCAGCGCGAGCGCTCCGGGCTTCAGAGGCAGCGGTCGGCGCCGAGCCCGGGGGGGGAAGCGAGAAGGAAAAGGCGTTCTCAGAAGGCTGCGACTCAGAAGGCTGCGAAGTCCCCCCCGGCCGTCTGAGAAAGGTTCTGGACCTTCCGCGATACGCAGAAGATTCTCCAGGATGCGCGAGGGCGCTTCGTACTGGTTTCCGAACGCATCATGTGATAAGAGACGCGGAGCCCCAGACAAGAAGGGCTCCAGGCCATTCAGACATTCCTCAGGATTGAGGGTTGGGGCTTAGAGGGTAGCGGAAAAATGGATCCGGGCACGTTCTCTCTGTGCTCAGAGGCCTTACGGCCGGTCGGGGGGAGAAGGAGAGAGAGGGGGGGAGTCCGTGGCCGCTTTGGCTCAAGCCAGTCTGCCTCGAGCGGCACGCGACCATCACTCTCTGTCCGGCCGCCGCTGCAAACGACTCCCGCGCCGGGGATGGCGCTCGACGTACCGGCGCGCCAGGGCGGGGGCGCCCACATCGACGAAGAGGCCGCCCAGCCGCTCGCCAGCCGCCAGGTCGTGACCTTCGAGATCGAGCCCTGGCCCCCCCCGTCGCAGGTGGAGGCCGCCGCCCCGCCGCGGCGCGCCGCGCCGCCCGCCGTGGCGCTCCTGGCGGCGCTGGCCGCGCTCTGGTGCTGGTCCGCGGCGGCGGGCCGGGGGTGCGCCGCGTCCTATTCCAACGAAAAGGAATTCGTCCAGCGGTACGCGCTCGGGCCGGCGGCGGTGGCCGTGCCGTATGCCGCGCTGGCGGCCTGGTGCGTGTGGGTGCGCGGGAGCTTCCAGGCCAGCCTGCCGCTGCACCGGTGGACGAGGGCCTACGGGTTGGGCGCGGGCGCGGCGGCGGCGCTGTTCGCCTCGTACCCGTGGATGAATGGGTGCGAGCACTGGCGTTTGAGAGGTGTTATTTTCCCGACCCTGATGGCGCTGAAGATCGTCTCGCTGGTCATCGTCGCGAACAAGCTGGAGGAGCTGCAGCGCCCGCGAGTCGCATTGGCCGTGCAGCGCCTCTCGGCCGTGATGCTGCTGGGCACAGTGCTGTGGTATGAACTCACTGGCGTTGGCTATAGCCTGATCAGCGTGGTGCTGAGCGTGGTGCTGTTCGCCGTGCTGTTCGCCTACCTGGGCGCGTGCATCTTCGGCGTCTGCGGCCTCCTGGCCGCCGCGGCGCGCGCCCGCTCCTCCAGAAGCGCGGCGCAGCGGCGCGCGGCCTGTTTCGTCGTGGCGACGGCCCTCGCCCTGGCGCTCTCCTTCACCACCAGCGTTATGCTGCTCTTCGAGTTCGGATCTTTCTGGTTGGCGACCCTCGACGCGCTGGGCCGCCCTCCCCACAAGTTCTCGCACGCGATGCGCTCTCTGCCATCAGCTGCTACACCGACGACCAGCTCCAATCCTTCTACGAGAAGTATTTGGACTACCTGGACAGGGCGCAGGTGAAGCGGGTGCGCTGCGGCTACCTGCGGCGGCTGGCCTCAGCCGGTGACGTCATGCAGCGTTGCCAGGAGGTACCGCTCGATCAGGTGTTCATCGGAAGCACAGGATTTCCACTTGTGCGTGATGGGGAGAAGAAAAGGTTCGTCCTTTCACACCCGTGGTTGTCAAAGGAGCACCCCGATCCCACTGGCGTCAAGTTGAAGCTGCTCGTGCAGCAGCCCGACATGCTGCATGCCTCCGACGATCACGCCGTGTTCGTGGACTACATGAGTCTCCCCCAGAACGACAAGCTGAACCCGGAGCTGCAGCGCATCGAGGCCGCGTCGGGGATGCCCAAGCCTGGCTCGCATCCGTCCGTGCGCACAGTTGCGGAGGAGGCCCAGTTCAAGGAGGCGCTCTTCGCCATGGAGCAGATCTATAGCATTGGCAAGACGCCGGTCATTGTTCTGCCCATGGATGGCGACGTGGACGCGGGCAGGGAGTACATTTCCAGAGGCTGGTGCCTTCTGGAATTCTGTCTCTCCATGGGCTTCGACAACATCTCGAATGCCGCGATCCACGAGCCTGTGAGGCGCCTGAGGGAGCATGTGGAGTCCTTGAACGGACACACGGTCGAAGGTTTCCACCAAGCGTTTAAATTGACGCACTTCACGAACAAGGGCGATGCCAACGTCGTTCTCAAGCTGTTCGAGAACACGCTGAATCTGGCATCTCGCCACTGAGGGAGCGTTCGCCGCCGAAGTGTGTGTGTGGGGGGGGGGCTCAGGGAGGGTGCATCGACCCCCCGATCGCCCGTCGGTCGCCGATGGGGACCCGCTGCCCCGCCCCGCCCAGGAACCAGCGGTGTCGCTGTCGGGGCCAATCAATGATCCATCGGCGATGCTGCATCGTCGATACCGAGGTGGATGTTTCGCCCCCCTGAGCTGGCGCCCGGGGCGAGCGTCCCAGTCAGAGGCTGCGCGGTGCGCGCGGCTGTGGGCCGGCCCCCGTGCGGGGGCCCCCGGGGAGGGCGGCAGCGGGGCCGAGGCCCTGGGGCGACCAGTGCACGACGGCATCCGCGTGGGGAGCCGGGCGCTCGGCCGTGGAGGCGACGGCTCCCACCTCTCACAGGGAGCTATCAAGAGGGAAAGAAACACACAGACATCATCCCAGTGCGACCCTACCTAGGAGTTGGAGCCTCTAGGAAAGCAACATTAGTAGGAGCGGTAATGGCCGTCCTCCTCCTCCTCCTCCTAAGGGCTCAAGCTGCCCCACTAAGGGCTCAAGATGGCCCACAGACGGACAACATGCATGGAACATACGTGCGCACACACACACACACACACACACACACACACACACACACACCTTTAAGTGTGTGTATATATATATATATAGCAGCAAAAATAGTGGATGCTGTGCTGCGCTATGCTATGCTCTGCTCTGCTATGCTATGCTATGCTATGCTATGCTGCGCAATGCTATGCTGGGCTAGGCTAGGCTAGGCTAGTCTATGCTATGCTAGGCTGCGCTATGCTATGCTGCGCTATGGTATGATATGCTATGCTATGCTATGCTATGCTATGCTATGCTATGCTATGCTATGCTTTTGCTTTGCCTTCGCTTTTGTCTTCACTTTTGCCTTTGCTCTTGCTTTTGCTTGGCACCCAGGGAGCGCAACTGGGGGAGCCGCGCGTTTGCTTTTACCTTTGCTGTTGCTTTTGCTTGGCTCCCAGGGGACTGGGGGAACCGCCCGGGGCGGGTTGCACTGCCCGGCCCCTTTAAGCTACAGAGTAAGAACCTTTCTAGGCAGAGCCTAGCTAGGGAACAGTGAATCGTCGATTCCCCAGAAAATATGGGAAGATATGGGCAGTGGGGGGGAAGACAAACATCCAGAACATATGGGAAAATATGGGGAATCTGGTTATGTGTGTTTATCTAAAGGCTGCCGCCCCTGCCGCCGACCCCAGATCGGGGCGATGCGTGTAGGTTTGAGCTGCTCTGGTGTTCAGAGCTTGCTTGGCGTCGCCGAGGCCGCCATTGCTGTTGCGGTTGCTCTCGCCACGGGTTGTGCAAGATGTCAAGAAGTTAGAAAGTTGGCACGCCGCGCATCTCTGTGGCAAGACCACAGGTGGGCGGATTGTGTACTGCAAATGCCCCGCGACAACGCGTGGATAGATTTCAGGATTCTTGGGGCAGGTTCCGTCATCCGAATCGCGAGGTGTGGGGGGAAGATGAAAAGCAGGAAAGACAACAGCATGGGGGAGGCAGCGTTCAACGGGTCGTTCTGGAGGCTGGCATCTCGGTGTCCAGTAGGATCGTTATGATGGCCTTTTGGGGCCCTTTGGGCCCGTTTTGAGCTTTTCGCGGGCTCGAAAAAGTCGCGCGGGAAGACGTAGGGGTTCCCAGATGTACGTCGGGAAGCTCAGGGGGCACGTGCCACGTACACGCAGATTTTCAGGTTTGGGGTCCGGTTCCATGCGGAATCTTTGGCCCAGGCGGCCCCTGGGCCCAAGCTCGCCCCAGATTGCATTTGGGCTGCGATTGGGGCATCTGGGGCTTCCAATACCTTCGGAGACAGTCCAAGTTGTCCCCAGACGGGTCCCCAAGCACGTCAGACGTCCCAGGCAGGCTGGCTCCGGTCGGACCCCTGAGCTGGTCGCAAGATGCCAAGATGGCTCAAGGGGCACATCAAGACCGTCCACAGACCATTCTCTCCATCCTTTCTCATTCCTCCACCCTCTTTTCCACTCCCGCTCCCAGACTCCGGAGCCACTTCCGAGGAACCCCCGCAATCAGGCCGAAAGAGGTTGCAGCACGCAGGGCTTCGCGGGCCTCCTTAAGCTGCTCGCGGATCTTCTGGGTCTTGGTACGCTTCTGTTCGACCTCCTGGCATGCCAACCGAACTTGTCGGGCAGCATTCTCCACCACCTTGGCCAGACGGGTCCTCTCGATGTTCGCCGCCGTGTCGAGCTGCGCGGGGGTGAGCACCACAGCTGGGGGCGCAGGCGGCGCCACCAGGTCTCCGAGGGACTTTTGGAACTCAGGACACGCCGCCAACAGAGTGGCCGCGGCGGCTCGTAGATGCTCAGCGTGAGGATCAGGCACATGTGCAGCAGTGGCGGTGGCAGGGGCTCCACGACCGCCTCCACCAGCAGCGCCTCGATCAACGTAGGCTCCACCACACTTCGAGCATAACTCATGCCCCCGATTCGCGCATTCCCAGTGGCTGCAGGAAGCGCACACGTTGTACTGCCCCTGCCTGCGCCTACGCTGGCGCCATCCACCATGCTCATCACGCTGCCGCACACGACGAGGGCGGTCCTCATCATCGTCATGTTCATGCTTGCGCCACGGTGGGGTCCTCGTCGCAGAAGACCACGTCCAGGGCATCCGCCTTGGCGGACAAGAGAACTGGAAACTCACAGTTCACCCTTGCCCGTCAAGGCGACGGGAGGAGAGTTGACACCAGGTGCCCCGATCCAGACCTGGGCGGACGGGCCGAGAAACGAAATCAAGCCGCGGACTAGCGGTATCCACGCGTTCCCCTGTGGAACAAGCATCTTGAGCCAAAATGACTACGGGACGAGAAGGAGGATGAGGAGGAGGAGGAGGAGGAGGAGGAGGAGGAGGAGGAGGAGGGGGAGGAGGAGGAGGAGGCGGAGGTCGGCTCGGAGAGGGTACCCCAGCGCTCTTCGTGTTTGTTGGATGTTCCTGTGCAGCCTGGGGAGGGTCCCCTTGGGTGTTCTGCCCGTTCTGGCCCGCGGAGGCTCTCATGCCCTCGAGGCATGCCCTTCCGGCGTAGGTCCCGCCGTAGCTGTTGCTCTTCGATGGTCCGTCCGGGCGCACGGCCGCGCGCTGCCCGATGCTCGGGCCGGGCGAAAGGGGGGATTGGGAAAGGGGGGGTTACGAAATTTGCTGCATGCAGCTGGTTTCGGTGCCACCGAGGGGCCCATTCCTGCATACATGGCCACCTCCACGGCGCCGGGAGGCGCCGGGGCAATCAGCTGCGCGAGCTGATTCTCAAACCCCCCCTTTGCTATCCCCCCCCTTTTCGCCCGACCCGAGATGCGCGCCCAGCCGCCCCGCGGCCGCTGCTGGCGCCGGGGGGCCGCCCTGGCCGCGCTGCTGTGGCTGCCCGTGCGGCCGGGGGCGCCCTTCGCGCCGGCGGCGCCGCGGGGCCGGCGGCGGCTGCTGCTGGGCCTGACGGCCCCGGCGGCGCTCCCGGCGAGGAACGGCTGTGGCCCAGACCCCCTGGGGGAGGAGGAGGAGGGGAGGAGGAGGAGGAGGAGGAGGGGGAGGAGGAGGAGGAGGAGGAGGAGGGGGAGGAGGGAGGGAGGAGGAGGAGGAGGAGGAGGAGGAGGAGGAGGAGGAGGAGGAGGAGGACATGGTTGTGTCATTGCTTGCTCCCCGAAGTAAGGGGAGCGGGGTCAGCGGCGGGCTCCGGGACGAGAGACGTGGTTGCAGCGCTCGCGCCCGTGCGCGCGCGGTGCCGCCCTGTGGCAGAGTCACTGAGTACGGGCAGTGCCGTGCCGGTCAGCGGGGGCGGCGGGCGGCGCTCTCCGGTGGGTTCCGCGCCGCGGTACCGCAGAACGCTCCCAGCACACACACACACACACACACACACACGCACGCACGCACGCACGCACGCACGCACGCACGCACGCACGCACGCACGCACGCACGCACGCACGCACGCACGCACGCACGCACGCACGCACGCACGCACGCACGCACGCACGCACGCACGCACGCACGCACGCACGCACGCACGCACGCACGCACGCACGCACGCACGCACGCACGCACGCACGCACGCACGCACGCACGCACGCACGCACGCACGCACGCACGCACGCACGCACGCACGCACGAACGCACGCACGCACGCACGCACGCACGCACGCACGCACGCACGCACGCACGCACGCACGCACGCACGCACGCACGCACGCACGCACGCACGCACGCACGCACGCACGCACGCACGCACGCACGCGCGCCCGCGCGCCCGCCCGCCCGCACGCCC